TGCTGACTGTGGGCATAAAAGCACGTTCAATTTGCCCTTTTATGCGGGCTCGCCTAACAACCGGCCTCCGAGACCTAACAACTCTGGGAGCAGCGCGAAATCAAACAGTTAAAAGTTGCTCACAATCGAGGACTGATTGAGCCAGTAGTTGTTTCACTTCACAGAGTCACGGAGGACGCGGTGTTTAATTATACCTGCCCTGTGATGTAACCATGGCCAAGAATACGAATCGCACTCACCCCACCCTAACCCACCCTAGTCCACCCTTTTCTGTCCTTTCTTTCGAGGGACAGGGAACGTCTGCAATCGAACGGGCGTTGGTGAGGGATAGTTTCAAACGCAAACTGCTCGCGATATTCTCGTGAAAAGGTATTTATGAACTTTCGCTAAATGCCCATTTGTGTGGTGCTTGAAAAACGCGAGTTTCTGAAGCGATTGCAGACGAATGGTATAACAAATCAAGCCGTTTGGGACCTTACAGGCGAGAATGCGATGCTTTGGACCCTCCGGACTGCATCATTCTGACGGTCTTCGATTCCGAATGTACCAGATTCTGGCGGCATTTCGACATTGCACCTATTTTCCGCCGTCAGAATTTAACGTTCAAGACAAATCTCTAAATTAACTTGAGGTTACTCAATTGGAAAAAATATTACCTTTCCAACCATGCGAGGTATTTCGCATCGGGACTCGGTCTTTAGCTCTATGCCTTCCCTTCCCGTCTGTTGCACAGACATCATATGTCCCGAAACGCCACGCTTTTTGCGAAACTTTGGACTATCGCAGTCTCCGACATGCCCTCCTTCGGTTGTCGTGACAACGTAGATGGACATTAAAATGAGCTAGGCAAAGCATTCTATGTGCCTCGTAAATACTATATTGTGCATAGTTGGCCGTCTTGACGTGGTCTAGACCTGAAGTCATTTCAACTCAGTCAATTGCAGTTCTTCATCCCCGAAAGCGTAAGCGGGTATCTCGAGGATTGCGGCCACCGTAATCTCCCAGCAACATCATGTGACACCTGATCAGGTGGAAAAGGCCATCATCGTCTGGTGAGATCGAGAGGCACCTTTACACAACCTGAAAGTCAGCCCAGCAACACTACATGTTTTAGGGATGCCTTAAAGGATGCATTCTGACCTGTGACCTCTCCCATTGCTATTGTGTAGTCTTCTAGCATCGAAACGTAGATTGAGTAGATTCCGACACGATCTGCTCGAGTCGCAGACATCATCTCTAAAAAAACTCCACACACAATATCGAGCTTAAATTCGTCACAGTCTAAAGAAAAGGCAATCTTATGATCAACAATTGTGTAGAAATACTGTATCTTCATCATTTTATCCTTCTTTACACCAGGTATAAACTTGACAACACAATAAAGTTGAGAAAAAGAAATCAAACCAACTCTAATAAGAACTTGACCTAGCTCGCTTAATGTGACATGAGCGCTATTTGTGGGGTTTTTCACAAAATGGTATGAGTAGACCTTAAATTGCGAGAGTATTTCACGCAGCAGTGCCTCACAAAAGGTGTTCTCATTCACAATTAATTACAGTTTCGAGCCTCAACGGGAAGCGAAACCTCCTCGTGTGCATCATGATGACATAGTGCTACGCCAATTCACATCCATAAGTAGCAGTGGGCTAAAGAGCAGATGTGACTTAAAAGACAAGTTACGCCATTCGAAAAGTAACATTTATTGTGAGACGAAGTTAGTTATATTCAGTGTGAGAATGCTTTGAAAGTATCAGTAAGTGTGAAATAAGTTGTAGAAGATACGAAGAATAACTGGGTTTCGATGAATCTGCCAATATAATATTGTTGGGGAGGCCTTCAATTCATATGATATGTCATGCTGAAGAAGACTAAGGCTGATTCCCGTTGTACTGCTGCTACGACCTTCAGGTTGACGGAGTCAAAAGACATCCCTCCTTGTTTCGGGTGAAAACGAGCAGAGCTTTCGTCCATCATATGACTGACATCATCAGAGCTGAAACTGATTCTTGTAAAAGTGTCAGGTGAACGCTAAGTCAAGAAAACTAGTATAATGAAATTCAATGTAAACATTATGTCTACTCATACCATTGTGGGAAAATTCAACTACCAATCTTGCATCACATTAATCAAAATATATCTGATTAACTGGTAGTCTCGAAAAGATATTCAAGACGAAAAATAGCAACTATAAATTTGTTTCATCGACAAACCAATCAAAAAATGTGATGTGGGAAAAT